AGATGTTGTTGTTCGAGCTGCCAGCAGCTGGCTGCTGACTCAGTCCTGATGCCTGAGTTAAAATGGAGGCTGCTCACTCCTTTCCTCCAATGACATGGCCCCTCCAGTGGTAGGTTGCTAAAGTGCTTTAAAATACAGTGCTTCAGCTCTAATACCTCATTTAACAAGGGTTAACTTTACAGCACTTTAAAAATAGTAACAGCACTTTAAGCTGTGCACTTCTGCTAAGTCTTGGCAATAAAGCACTTTAAAATGACAAAAAAAGCAACTTCTGTACACACTCTAAGGGCCAGATTCTATTCCACCTGTTAGATCCCTCCTAGGCATCTTATTCTACCTTGCTCAAGTCTGAAAAACTGTTACTACAATAGATGGGTGGTTCCCCCTGTTCCTCACTGCTTTTTATGGCTTTGTTTCAGGCCACAATGACAACATGTTCATGAAATGGATGCAATATTGGATTTTGGGGGACTCGAGCATGATAGAATAGGCTCACACTTAGGTGCGTAAATCTCATTTGGTGCCTAATGGGCGGAGTGGGAGCTGGTCCTAGAAGTGGGAGAACTATATCTATCTGAGGCAGATAAAAGCACAAAGCCTTTTACCTCAGGACATACACTCAGGACAGAAAGAGGATTAAGAAGGTAAGCTGTCCCTGGAACCATGATCTGAGGTAACTGCAGCACATCATGAGTTGGCTCTGATTTCACATAGGAGAATGGAGATGTAGAAAGGGCCCCCTTTATAATAATGCAGACATGAGTATTCAGCTCACCGAACAAGTTATAGATGTCTTTCATTTAGCTTTTATTCCTCTATATTTAAAAGGGTCTGTTAATACTTGTAGCCCTGTAGAGAAATTTATTATGGGAGTGATGATGGTACTATTCTTTACCCATTCCTTTTGTTGTGGTGTGCCCACTGCACCTCATGGAAACAGATATGTCACAGGCGAGAATTGAACATGACCTTCTATTCAAGGCATGCTGTCCGTAGGAGAGACCATGAGCAGGTATGTGGGAATAGGGGCTGCTGAAAAATATTTAAGATATAGGAGGAAAGACAAGGGTTTGGTGGGTGAGAGAAAAGACTTGCTTTAATTTACCTTGTAGCGATGGAAGCTGGTTTAAAGAGCAAATGAGTGAAAAGACGCAAGTTGAATTGGAGTGGTCATTATCCTCTGTAAGGTCCAAAATCCATACATTTGGGCAATTTTTTTCTGGCTTCTGCTGCCAGCACCTGCAGAATCTGTTTCCATTTACTCAAATACAGTTTCCCCCATATTAATACCAGGAACTTATTAAATATCCAACAACTGGCAAACCAAAGCCAGCTCACAGCTGGCTCTCTGCTTTTGTTTTGCATTGCTGTAGGTAAGTTCCTTTGAATATTCCAGCTCCACCCAGTTTTTACAGCTCTTCCAAACACTTCACTTTTTTTTTCCACTATGTGTTTGCACATCTCTAGAATCTGTGTGGGCAGACAGTTAACTTTCTTGTAGACAAGGCTGATTTGTTTTTGAAAAGCAATGTTGACAAAGAGCATGCCTGGGCCTGTAGCATACTCTCGCTTATCAAAGGTACAAAAAGTGGACAGCAGCCCCTATGCTCAGTCATCTTTGCTTCCTATATCTTATTTGTTTATTCCTCTGAGTGAGGTAGCTGTTGGAGTTTTATAATTGAAGTGATTGATGATTATTGTTTAGTCAGTTTCTAAATATGTTTTGTTTGCTCAATGGCTCAAAAAAACCCCAATAAGAAGCTGTAGGAGATCATTGCCAAACCAGCCAAAGTACATACAGGTCAAGATTAGGTACACTGATAGAACAGCTTCATCTCTGAAAAGGGCATGTTCATTTTCCCTGTTCTCAGGGAATCAAAATGGAATGTCTTCTGAGCATACCCTGCCGCCCCTAGGCTTCAGGCACAGTAGAAGTCTGGCAGAGAGCCTAAGAAAGAATCCATAAGGTATACCAGAAAGACCATCCCACTCATGTGTCCTGTTCTGCACTATCCCATTAAATCTGGACATACTGATTCCCTTGGGGATGAGGAGGAGTGCAGCGTGAGGACAGTTTCCTGACCAGCAAGGTACTGCTGTCCACCATCTCTTCATCCTCCCCTGATGAAATTGTAACTCCACCATTTATGGTTTTTCAGGCATTTATAGGTGCAAATTTAACCATATGTTCCAAACTATTAAAAAATATATTCAGTTTCTCATGGGGAGCCACAAGTTGTGTGCCACTAAGTGCGAGGTAAAAAGTGATAGTTTGCATACTTATATTTTTTTCCAGTGTTTGATCAATGACAAAACGCATCTTGGATCAGGATGAGTTAAGTTCCTTTTAAGAGGCTACTTTTCAAGAAACATCACCAAACTGAGTAGGCAACTTGATGATAGATTGTAACAGGGAGCCTCTCAGGGCTGGGTTTCGGTGCCAGCCGCCCGCCTGTCCCTGGGCTAACCACCTGCCTAATTCGTCTGCCACGCCTTGATAATAAATGGAAATTGATACTAAGGCAGGAGGCTGCCCATTGTTTGCCCTGTTGACAAGGGCCTCTGAACATGCTCCAACCTTCCCTTACGCATGTCCCACATTCCACAGATCGTCAGGGCCACTTCTCACTCTCAGCCTAGCACCTGGCCTCCCTTCTGGGGGACACACACTGGGTCTTCTCACTGGAGCTGCACTCAGCTCTCTACTGTGACCTCAGGTTTCTCAATGAGCCTGGGTGCTTCTCCAGGTCCCTCCCCCAACCTGGGCCCTGCCTCAGGACTGCTGAGAGCTTGGGCTCCCCCTGCATGATCTCAAACCCACCAGGGATGTGGGCCTCGGGTTAGAAGGCACCATATACTCACCTTTCACTGGGGAAGGTGCCTGGCCTGGCATTTCTGGGGAACCACCCTACCACAGGTAGCATCGCTAGGCCTTCCATCCCCAGCAGGATGCAATTTTCTGTCATGCCCAGGACACTGAGGCCGCCTCCTTCCCCATAGCCTCACCCTTACCTCCAAGCTGTTCCAGGAGCAGCTTCTTAGCCTGATGTTTCCTCTTCCTCTCCCTGCAGTACTCGGCTGTCCCAGCTTATGTACCTTGGCCCTAAAATGGCCACTAATCACCAGGCACCTGGCTGCTGCCTGCTTTCAGCCCTTAAAGCACAGGCACCCAAAGGTGCACTGCCACACAGATGAAGGACCATCATTGATAAATGTAAAATAATACAAATTGGGGAGGGGGGTGTGAACAACTGCAATTTGAAGTCCTAAATTAGTGATATTTAGAAAAAATGTCGGGATCGTTGGTCAACAAAATGAAGTCTTTTGCTCGAAGTGCAAAAAGCGTTAGTTTGCGTGAGGCATGGAATGGTGAACATGATAAATGCTTCCATGCTATGCTGTTATATGCAGCAATCGAATGTCCTTGCATGGAATACCGTATTCACTTCTGTTCACCCCATCTTTGGAGGGTATCACAGTATTACTGAGAATTTGAAGAAGGCAACTAAGAGGCGTAGCAAACCTCTTCAGTGAAGGCAGATAATTCCAGTCGTTTATTCTCTCTCAGATGTATACAAAATAATGATTGCCCGGAGAAGGTAAACTGGAAAATTCTATTTTCCATTGAACTATGGATTGATCCTAGAATATTTTAGACAAATGGCTGCCACGTGACAAAATTATAGGCATTCTAAAGTAGCACAGTATGGCAGTGGCTGGCACCGTTTTTAGGCTGCAGGCCATCTTGACCCAGTTTGGGTCAAAGGTAGGTAGACAGGCAGGCACTATGACCCAGCTGCTGCTGCTTTTCCCTGCAAGAGTGTGGGTAAAGCCCCACAGCTGGTGGCTCCCTTCTCTCCCCTCCCCTTCTCCTCCCTCTCCCCTGCCCTCCTATGGCACAGGGAGTCCCTTGCCTATGGCCATATCAAATGCCTGTGGATTGTTGACTCATGGATTATGGAATTGTACTGTAAAATGATAGATACCACTAAGCATAGGCCTTATTGTGTGATGTTCCTATTCGGGGGACAGAATTTAGTGTGTGCACGGCCCTGACTTGCGTTTTCCAATATTTGTGTGGCATAACCTTGGAGCTGTATTCTGTTCAGGATTTTATTAATTAAATCGTAATAAACATCCCAGACATTTCACCACTGTTTGGTATAAACTCAGGTGCAGACATCCTAGCCCAGAAAGGAAAAAACAGATATCACCACCACACTCTACTCACCTGCTTTCTTAAGGTCAGCTTTGTTTCCAAACTATCAAATCAACTTGCATGTTTTCAGCTTCAGCTACCCAGGAGGGAAAGGAACATTCTCTTCTCTCTGGAAGCGTCAGCTTCCTCCTCATTTTATAACCCCACCTTACTTAGTAACCCCTTCTGCCAAAGCACTCTTAATTCATCTTTCATACTAAGAAATAAATGGATGCCACGTCTCAGCTGCAGAACTGTTGAAATAAGTTTAATATTACAATATGAAACGTTTGGTCCGTTAAGCAAGCTGATAAAATGTACTTTCTCTGTAAATGAGCTGCTCTTTCTGTTGTAGACTCCGGGCTATAATGGAGGAATTAAAAGCAACGCAGACTAGGATAAATTATGGTTTTATCATCTACTAGTTAGATATCACAGTAATCCTATTTTAGTCTTTACTGCACTTAAACTCACAATGGACACGTGTCAAGATAACCGAGTGATAAAATTCTGAAAGGGTTACTTATATCAGGTCAATAAAGCACGTGCACACCTCTGACCTTCACAATTGTTTCCAAGTGCCTATGTATTTGGTTCAATCTTACTCTTTTTATTGGATAAAAAATATAAACAACGTCTTTGTATTTCAGAATGAGTCAGGCATTGGAGTCCTTTGTCTGGTATTTTCTTAAATGGAGCTTAACTCTATGTGGAGTTCCTCAAGCTATGGAAATTGCACTTGAAACTTATAGAAAGTGGCCAAAAAGATTGACTGATTGTTTGTCTTTTTTGTGTGTACCAGGCAATTAGGATAATTCATACCGTCCTGGAGAAGTATGGCACCTATGAGAGCTTTGAAGTAGCCACCGGTGGAAGATTGTTGAGCAAGTGTCAAATCTGGTCTATAATCCGGAAGTACATGCAGAAGGAGGGCTGTGTGGGAGAGGTAATAATTGCCTTCCTTTTATCTACAAAGCTCATTCCGCACCGCTAGTGTTAATGCTGCATCAATAGTGTCAGTAATCCTATTGTAAGGAAAAATTGCCTGCCAGGCAAAGACAAAATTGAAACATGTTCTATGGGGGAGATAAATTTGGGAAACTAGTCTTAGAAAACCTAGTGCTGAGAGTGGTTTCAAAAAGACTTAAGGTGTTTTGGAGTAAAAGTAGTAACTAGAGTGGCTTTACATCAGATGTAAAACAAAGCATTATCCAGCTTAATTTTCACTCTATAGACAAATCTTACTCTTGTTTAAATGCACACCCCTATCTCAACTAAGTTTGAATTATGCTAAAGCTTTTTTGAGGTATTGCAATTGTAAAATGTTCAGGGAATGCCCACTCTTTTTCTTTAGATGTATAGTTTCTCCTTCAATGTTGGCATCAAAGAACTAACTAGCTGGATGTAGCTGATGCTGGCCCACCTTGGGCTGTGCCCATGGGACACAGCAGCTGGAATGCTGCCCCAAAAGAGCTGCTGAAGATTCAGCTATCCTCAAGTGAGCACAGTGTAGCATCACTTCCTTTCAGCTCCTTTGTGAATAGGGCATGGTGTCAGATTTTTAAGGCCAGAATGGAAGGTCTTAATATGATCTCCTGTATAGCACAAAACCTGGGACTTCCTCAGATTTCAAGTTCAGATCCATAGCTGTGCTTGAATTTTGGCAAAACTTCTGGGAAAATATTCAGTCAGGATTTTAAAAAATTGCTATGAGGAATTCCCCCTAATCCTGATACAAGGTGTTCAATTATCAGCAGTGTTAAAATGTGCATTCTAGTCTGAATGTGTGTAGATTCCACTCCCAGCCATTGAATCTTACAGTGCTAAAGAGCCGTCTGTTATCACACTTGTTACTCACATAGGTACTTACATGATCAAATCGCCACTTAACCTTCTCATTGAGAAGCTAAATAGATTAAGCTTCATGGAGTTGGTCACTGTAAGATCTGTTGTTCAATCCTGCAGTAATTCCTTCTAGCTCTTCTCTGAACTCTACAATTTTTCAGTGTCCTTTTTGAGACGGGGATGCCAGACCTGGGTGCAGTATGCCAGTTACGGTTGCCCCTGTACTGAATACACAATTAATAGACTCTCCCTGCCTCCTGTTCCCCCTACAATCATCCAAAGAGCAAGCAGCAGCACGGCAGAGCAGGCCTTGGATCACCTTGTATGGCTGATGTGTCACAAGTCATAACACAAGCCTAGCAGGTTTGAAAGAGGAATCATTCGACAGACTTGCCCATGTCACAGCTGTCTGTCACCATTGCAAACTAAATAACTTATGCTGTGAGGCAATATAAGCTATTTTGAAGGTGTGTCTTGGTCTGTGCTTTTCAAAGCAGGGTGTGGAACTAGGACTTGTAGCACTTGGGGTAGTAAATACAAGACAGGAGCAAACTGCACAGGCCAAAACATTAAACATTTTTTTCACTTATCTGCTTAACTGCACAGTATGATACCTGTGTGCTTAGTTGTGATGCGTCTGCACTGGGTATTCCTGCTTGTTTAGCTGGAGCCATTGGGGCTGAGTAGTGCTGGGCTCCAGCTGACAGGTGGAGCTGCCCCAGCTCCCAGCACATGGCTCCCGCGCTGCACTCACGCCACATGACAGCTGCTGTGCGGGTGCCAAGCAGGGAGGTGATCTATGCTGCCCCCCACTGCCCCATGCTGCATGGGGGGGGGTTCTGCCTCGAGCCCTCAGAGGCCCTGATTGCTGCTGCTAGAGCTGGTGAGTGTGAGGCTTTCTTTCTTTCTTTTTTTTTTTAAGTGCCAGGAGGCTGGGGCTGGGCGGAGGATGGGGTTGGGCAGGGGAGCCATGAGGGGTTCTCCCGCGGCGCCGCCAGGAGGGCTCCCCCCGCGGCTCCTTTGGCTGTGCCTGCCTCTTCCCCAGTTGGGGGAGTCATGGGAGAAGCCCCCATGGCTGCCCTGCCCGGCCCCATCCCTGCCTGGCCCCAGCCTCCCGGCACTTTAAAAGCGGGGCTGTGCTGGATTATTCCCAGGGAGCGCCTCCAAAACATCCGAAACATTTCCGAAACGTTTTGGATGGTTTCGTTTCATTTCAGAGCCTTCTGTTTAGTTTTGGATTCAGTGTTTCGGGCACTGAAATGGGCCAAAACACCTCCAAAACTAAACAGCTGCCAAAATTTCACACAGCCCTAGTTTCCATGTCTTAAGTGGGAAGGCTGATTTTCCTTGACTGGACTAGAAGCCGGCATGTGTGAAGAATGAGTTGATCCTCCTCTTGCTATAGCATTGCAGCATCAGGTAACTGTAAAGCCTCGATCTTTGGGTGTAGCTGGTGCCCAGGCACTTGAACAGAGTGCCCTTGGCGCCTGCAGTGACTGTCAGTTTTCTGACACTCACAATAAGAAGGGGCGGATCCTGTGTTAACCCTCTGGGGCTTCACCTTATTATTGTCCTGTCACATGAGAAAGGTCCTGCTACCTTCCCCAGACTGTCTCTCAAGATGCTATGGTTCCTGGATGCTGTTTCCACAACTGACTCTCTCACACAGTTGGTGATAACTCTAGACAAATCTTTTTTCCTATGTTCTGCCTTCCAAAAACAAGGTGCATGCCTTATTGGGAGCATGTGGTATGCAAGAAACTAATGTATACTGCTGCTTTATTTTATCTTGTTGCATTCATGTCTTCTCCTTATTAAGATCGGTTTTCAACTGAAGCAGCACGTCTTCATGGTTGCACAGTTTAGAAACATTACAGATTACCAAGCTCTCTATGACTGTACTGTCTTTCTCTTCCCTAAAGAGTTATGATCACAGTTGTAAACAGTGTGGGATTGTGTGGTTTAGCACCGAGTCTGGCCCTGTATGCCACACCACTTTGGTATAGGAAAAATGAACAGCTCCCAGAGGGGCAGTGGAGAGGTCCATTGGTCCAGACACTACACAGCTCTGCACCCAGGAAGGTCTGGAGGTGGAGTCTGAGACCAGGCCATATTGCACAGTTCTGAATCCCTTCTAGGTTTAGTCCTACTGAATGGAATCCTGGGAAGGCTGCCATACCTTACAACAGACCTCAGGGCTGCCTCATGTACACTGGTGGGATGTTTTGGCCCCTTGAGCAGCTTGAATTCTAGATTGTGCCTCTCATTCAGTCTGGGCTTAGCCTGTTGAGCTTCCCACAGGTGCAACACAGGATCTCAGCCATAGCATCCAGTTTAAAACTGTGTGGTCACAATGTTGTAATTAGTGGAAATCTTATGTATTTGTGAGCCAGGAAATTGGGAGCCAAGGTCATGCAGTGATTGCTGCAGTTTCCTTTTAAGCTTTCCCACCCCACTCCCTGTCAACCTCAGTGGGATTCTTGTGAGCGCTGCATTAAATGGCAACAGCATATGCCCAGTAAGAAGCACTGATGAAGCATGACCAATAGCATCTTGGGGCCAGAGCATAATCCAGTCATACAGTTCTGTCTGACTTCACAGTTATGGAGTGCAGCTGGAACCCTAAAGTCTAGCTAAAGTCTAAACTGAAATTTGTACTCGTTACTAATTCAAATAAAATGAAATGAACTGGCATCTAGCTAATACCTTTTTCTAAATGCTAATCTAGTGTAAGCCAGACCAAAGTCTTGGAGCAAACCATTTGTGGAATGTCTAAGCATTTGCAAAGCCTTTCTTAATGAGCTGGCAGTTGTTTGTGACAGGTGCAGTAATTCAAGTAGTGATAGAGCAGCTTCTCAGCTCTGCCCCATTCCTCACCCATGCACTGACCCAGCACAAAACCAACCCTTATAACAGGCTGCAGAGATCTTTAAAGGGCTGTGTGAGTCAAGCCAGTGATGTTGGTTGCTAAGTTGGTGCCAGTGCAAATTCTACCCCCACAAGCATCCTTGACCCTTGGGGTGTGGCGGAATGGTGCTGACAGGTGAAGGCAGAGTACCGGAGTTTCCATCATGCTGGGGAGTGGTCAGATGGGTAAGTATTTGTGCCATAATTAACTTTGAGTATTTAACACTTTCTTCAGGATGTTTCTCGCTGTTGAACCTAAATTTTGCATGGCTCTGTGTTCTGGCTCAGGGCTGAGGTCATGATGCAAGAGCTCATAGAGGCCTCCCTGCAATGTTCCTGGACCTCTCAACTGTTCCCTGTCATGCAGCAAAGGAATTCCCATCTGTACTGGTGAGTACAGTAATCTGTGGAGATAAATGCAATTAAAATAGTCTTTGGATTGTGATATCAGAATCCATGCTGCAGGGTGGTGGCCTGGCCCTCATCCTGCCCTTCTAGATTCCCCTACACTAGACAGGTGGCATGCAAGAGGCAAGAAAGGCTGTGCCCATAATTGAGGGTGCTGCTTGTCTGGGAACAGGCAAAGCTCTTGCTCCAGCACTCATGCCTGGTACTAGCACTCTAAATTTGTGAGTTTTAAAAGGGATTGATCTCAGCTTCTGGTTTCTAGTTGTATCCATGAATCAAGCAGATCAGTCTGTTAGCGGTATGACACGAGACAGGTGGCATGCAAGAGGCAAGAAAGGCTGTGCCCATAATTGAGGGTGCTGCTTGTCTGGGAACAGGCAAAGCTCTTGCTCCAGCACTCATGCCTGGTACTAGCACTCTAAATTTGTGAGTTTTAAAAGGGATTGATCTCAGCTTCTGGTTTCTAGTTGTATCCATGAATCAAGCAGATCAGTCTGTTAGCGGTATGAACTGAGCTAGTGCGATCTGAGGCTGTTTCTTAAATTCAAGACCTGGCTATGACTTCTGTCCAGACTGAAGTATTCCATGAGTCTAGAGGGAATGCTGGAATTGCTGCTTTTTTGATGAAAGAACAGATTTCTGCTGGAGCTGCAATTTGGCCCTCTGTCTCAAATTTCTCACTGCTCTTGAACAGTCAGCCTGGTGAGTTTTTGTCTGGTGAGCAGGGATCCTTGTTTTCCCTGATAAAAAATTGCAAATTCTCCTATAACCTCCCCCCCCAATCAGTAATTAAAATTAAAGGTCCCCCATGGTCCCTCCCCGTCCCTGCTAGTGCCTCTCACTCCCCCCACAATCCCCTGGCTCTGCTCGTGCCCCTCACTCCCCCCACAACAGCTCCCTAGCCCTACTGGTGCCCCTCACTCCCTTCACAGTTCCCCCTGGCCCTACTGGTGCCCGTCACTCCCCCCACAACATCCCCCCCAGCCCTACTGGTGCCCCTCATTCCCTCCCACAGCCCCCCAGCACTACTGGTGCCCCTCACTCCCCCACAACAGCCCCCAGCCCTACTGGTATTATGACCCCAGCACTTGTTCCTGCCTGGGACAGGGGGTCAGACCTGATGATCTGTTTAGGTCCCTTCTGAGCCTAAGCACTATGACACTATGGTGCCCCTCACTCACCCCCCAGCTCCCCCAGCCCTACTGGTCCCCTAACTCACCCCACAGCCCCCAACGGCCCTGCTCGTGCCCTTACCCCCCACCCACAGCCCCTGCTCCCCCAGCCCTGCAGGAGAAGACCCCCAACTGCCAGGGCTACAGATCTGGGTCCGCAGAGTCCTGCCTCTGCTTCCCCCTACTGTGGGCTTGGGCAGGGTGGCTCCCCCTGCCACGTGCACTCCCAAGGAGCAGGGGGGACCCACACCCCCCAGATCTGTACACAGGGCAGGCGCAGGCTGTGGGCTCAAGCTCCTGCTCTGCTTACCTCCCCTGGGACCTCCACAGCCCGGTGGGTGCCACCTGACGCAGCAAGGAGCACAAGAGCTGCGTGCAGAACCTGCTCGCTGCTGCTCACCCCGTGCTGCCCTGGTGACATGCTTCCTATGTGCAGGTCTGCACCCCTCAAAGCAGTGGCACGTGCAGGGGGCACATCGCCAGGGCAGCCGGGGGGGAGCTCGCAGCAGCGAGAAAACCCCCACATGGCCCCGCTGTCTCCAGCCACTCCAGGTTGTGCCTGCTGGGCTGCAGAGGCCCCAGGGGAGGGAAGCACGGTGGGAACCTGCAGCCTGTGCCTGCCCCACACGCAGAACTGGGGGGGTGAGGATCCCCCTGCCCCCTGGGAGTGCGTATGGTAGCGGAGAGCCAGCCCTCTCCCCCCCCGGTCGACCCACCCATGGCCCCGTCCTGCTTCTCGCTGGGGTCCTGCAGCTGCATATTGCGGCCCTGGGCCCCAAGCCCTGCCTGGCTGGGCAGCAGCCCCAGCCCAGCCCAGCCCAGTTCCCTCCTTCCCTTCCTCCCTACAGGAGCCTCAATCCCCCTCTTCCCCCACCCTCCACTTATCTGATGGAGCTGTTCTGCAGGCTGCCTAGCGCTGGAACTCTACCAGCCTGCAGGGGGCTGATTGCAAAATGTCAAAATCCGTGGGTTTCTCTTGTAAAACAAGAAATCCACATTTGCCTCCGGTAAAAGGTAAAATCTGCGGTTTACTCCGTTTTTCCATGGAAACAGAAAACCCAGATCCCTGCTGATGAGTTAGAAGTGATGAAGCACTGCTCATCACTTCTTCAGACACAGGCTGAACTGTGCCACACTCAAGCTGTTAGATGTGCATGGTAATCGTAAAATTCATGCTGCAGTTTGGTTGGCTAGTGACATCCACAGTTAATTTCAAAAAATGTGTGTTTCCTCCCCCCTCTCCCCCCTTTGATTCTGATTCAGGGATACATTTTTATGTTTTGTAGTTGGGGGACTGGTGGGGGGGTTTCTGTCAGGAAACTGAAAGAATTGAGTAAACTGCATTGAAGTGATGATGAATTTAGTGGGTCAGACTTGGCTGAATTTAAGTAGATGCACAGTTTTTAATAAAAAGCATCAAGTTTCAATGCTTCCTTTTCTGAATTCCCTGGAAATACAATGGTCAGTTTAACCAGGAATACACACCTTCCAACTTCCTCTTCTCTTCTTTATTTCCCCCCAAGATGCCTAGCTGTTCGCCAAACACTAACAGTAAACTGAGATTACATTACTGTAATATTAAAGCAATGTCTGCATCCACTTGACCACCTGTGCCTCACTACCTATAGCAGGGGCGGGCAAAATACGGCCCATGGGCCATTTTATCTGGCCACGGAGCCCCTAAAAAGTTTAGTAAATTAATATTTATTTGCCCCAGCTCCCTGTCAAAGCTGTCTGGAGTCAGGGGCAGTAGGACCCAGAGGGAGCCCTCAGCAGGCTTGAGCAGCCCACCCCCCCCACCCCCAGCCAGTTCTCCGCTTTCCTGCCCCCTCCCTGCTCCAGCACCATGTGGTTGCATCCCCAGACCCCGAAGCATGGGATTGTGCTGGTAGGGGTGTGTATGTGTATGTGCGTGTCGGCAGGCACAGGGGCAGAGTATGTCCGTGTCTGCAGGCACAGGGGCAGTGTGTGTGTGTGTGTGTGTGTGTGTGTGTGTGTGTTCATAGGGTGAGTCCTACATGCACACCCCTTCATACACATGCACCTATGCCTCCCCTCGCACTGCCATACACAAACCCCAGCCACCCTCCCCCCATACCCACCCACACCCCACATACTTACACACCCACAGCCCCCACAAACCTATACCCACCCTCGACAATATACAAGAATAAGACTTCATTTTAAGCTATTGTGCAGTCACCTCTGCATACACTACACAAACACATGTAAATCAGGACAAAAATCTTTTTTGAAATCAAAGTAATGAATGTTGTAGATGATCACTTTTTAGAATATAATTTGGTATTTTTCTGTTTCTGAGATGGCAAACCCTCTTGCTGAAAGGAGTACTTCAGGGGGAAAGAGGAGGGACTTCTGGTGGCAAAAGTCAGGGGTTAGCGGGTGGGACTTTTGGTCACAAGATGGTGACCGGGGTAGGGGCACTTGTCAAGGGGTGGGGCTACCCATGTGGCCCTTGACAGCTTGCCAAAACTCAGTAAGCAGCCCTCTGCCCGAAATAATTGCTCGGCTCTGACCTATAGCAACACTGTGGACTTGGGGACTTTGTTGAACAGGATAGACAACAATACGATAACACCGTTCGCTCCAAAAGCTCATAAATCATGAGTTGTGATTCCAGCAGTCATGAGATTTGGCCCTAAACCATGCAGTTTTTATTTTTAAATGAGCTGTGGTTTTGGTCTGTCTTAACTCCCACACCAGTCCCCTCTGCTGCACTTTGGAATCCTTCCCAGAACATGGAGCACTCGGAAATGTTTCACCCTTGGCTTGAGCTTCTAGTGCCCTGATCCAAGCAGGTTTCTTTGTGCTGTTTTTTAAGTCAGCATGGCTTCCACTCTAAATATTGCACCCTCAAATGAGTCTCTAGCTGTCCAGCCATTGCTTAGCTGGTTTTCCTCTTTTCTTTGCTTATGCCTCATCTCAAAATACAGTATCTGGTATGAGGAGGGAAGGAGACACAATGTCTGTAAACATTTAGCAGTCCAGTCTCTTCTTTTGTTTACTGGGTAAAAAGGAGAGGAATGAGAAGGAAAGTGCCTGCATTGGTCTCTCCACTTGCCATCCCCTCTTTGGCAAGACTGTTCAGCATCCCCTGGCCTACATTTATGTTGTGGTGAGCTTTTGACTGATATGTTAATAGATCATTGGTGCTGAGAGCTTGATGCCAAAGCCTCGTGTGTAGGCTGTCAGTGTCTTTTTAGAAGTTGTCTGTTATCTTGTGCCCATGCATGAAACTTTATATACAGGGTCTCCATGTAACAAACAGAAATGGCCCAGTAGCCCAGCTCTAGAAATCCAGTTCATAGTGGTAATGCTTCCTGGCACTATAGCAGCTTTTTGTCTCTTCTTTGGAAACCAGATTTTATTTATCAGGCTTAAAGCAAATGTTCCTTGACAGTAGGTATGAAAGCAAGAATCTCTCTTCCTTTCCACTTCTGCTCCCTTTACTACAGGTAGCTGTCTTAGGAGAGCTAGCTGAGCTTAATGCAGTGTAAAATCAGGGTGTCAATAACTCTGTGTCCACACCTTGATTTGGGTTCCTTGAAGAAGGTGCGGAACCGATCCACTCGCTCTCATATATAACATCATGGAATGCTTGCAATAGAGCATGAGGAGCCTAATTTTGAGGTAGAAAGTCCTTATTCCCTTCCTAAAATCTTCTGTCAATTCAATCAAGAGCAGCAATGATCACTTGTAAAGCTAGCAAGGGCGGTTGACTTGGGAGTCTGCTAACAGAAAAGAGTAGCTTTTTCTTCTGCTGCTGCTCAGAGGAAAAGAATGCTGTTT